GACTCCTTTATCTTTAAGAGAGAAATTTGTTGTTGTTTTTTTAATTACTTTTTGCTGGAGTATACTTGCTTTACAATGTGTTAATTTCTACTGCACAGCAAAGTGAATCAGCCGTACATATACATGTATCCCCTTTTTTGGATTCCCTTCCCATTTAGATCACCACAGAGCAATAAGTAGCATTTGATGAGCTATACAGTAGGTTCTCATTAGTTATCTACTTTTTACATAGTATCAATAGTGTATACATGTCAGTCTTGATCTCCCAAATCATCCCACCCCCCACTCACAGCCTTGGTGTCCATATGTTTGTTTTATATGTGTGTCTCTACTTCTGCTTTGCAAATAAGATCATTGACACCATGTATCTAGATTTTTTTAAATCAAATATTTTAACTTCCTACTATGAGCAAGACATTATTCTGAGGGTGAGGCAGAGGTACAGCTCAACCCTTGACTTCTAGATATTCGAGACTTTCAGAAATGCACCAGCTCTGGGCAATTTCATTTCCATTGAAAGTAACATGAATCTTTTCAACTTGCACTGAATGTTGAGCGTTCCCAAGCTTAGTTCGTGGACCAAGTTCTCTCCTTGTCCCGTCCCAAGGTTTCAAATGCCGTCTGAACACTTCTGGCTCCTCACTGTGTACTTCTAGCACACTTGTCTGCTTTGAGCTCCAGACCCATATTCCACATTAAATCTCAACTTGGATTTAGATGGCACGCCGCACAGAGTGTGTCCAGCTAAACCTGGGGGTGTGGTCCAAGTGAAGTTACCACCATCCATCCAGTTCCAGGACACTTTCATCTCCTTAGTTCTCCTGTCTAGTCCACCACGGGGCTTCTCAGGTGGTGCTCGTAGTAAAGAACCCGCCTGCCAGTGCAGGTAGACGTAACAGACATGGGTACATTCCCTATGTTGGGAAGATCCCCTGGAGGAGGGCACGGCAACTCACTCCAGTATTCTTGCCTGGAGAATCCCATGGACACAGGAGCCTGGCGGTTGCAAAGAGTCGGATGCAACTGAAGCAACTCAACATGCACGACTTTGTTGTTCACTTGCTCAGTCGTGTCTGCCTCTCGGCGACCTCCTGGTCTGCAGCATGCCAGGCTTCCCTGTCCTTCACCATCTCCTGGAGTCTGCTCAACTCATGTCCATTGAGTCGATGATGCATCCAACCATCTTGTCCTCTATTTTCCCCTTCTCCCCCTGCCTTCTCTCTTTCCCTGCAGTGGGATCTTTTCCAGTGAGTCAGCTTTTCAAATCAGGTGGCCAAAGGATTGGAGCTTCAGCTTCAGCATCAGTCCTTCCAGTGAATATTCAGGGTTGATTTCCTTCAGGATTGACTGGTTTGATCTTGCTGTCCAAGGGACTCTCAAAAGGCTTCTCCAACACCATAGTTTGAAGGCATCAATTTTTCAGCTCTCAGCTTTCTTTATGGTCCAACACTCACATCCATATTTGACTAATGGAAAAGCCAGAGCTTTGACTAGACAGAACTTTGTAGGCAAAGTAATATGTCTGCTTTTTAACATGTCTAGGTTTGTCAACTTCCCTGGTGGTTCAGACGGTAAAGCGTCTGCCTACAATGCGGGAGACCCGGGTTTGATCCCAGGGTCGGGAAGATCCTCTGGAGAAGGAAATGGCAACCCACTCCAGTATTCTTGCCTGGAGAATCCAATAGATGGAGGAGCCTGGCGGGCTACAGTCCACAGGGTCACAAAGAGTTGGACACGACTGAGCGATTTATTTCACTTCACTTCGCTTCACGTCTAGGTTTGTCATAGTTTTTCTTACAAGGAGCAAGTGTCTTTTAATTTCATGGCTTCAGTCACCATCTTCAGTGATTTTGGAGCCCAAGAAAATAAAGTTTGTCACTGTTTCCATTGTTTGCCCACCTTTTTGCCATGAAGTAACAGGACCAGATACTATGAACTTAGTTTTTTGAATGTTGAATTTTAAGCCAGCTTTTTCACTCTCCTCTTTTACCTTCATCTAGAGGTTCTTTAGTTCCTGTTTGCTTTCTGTCGTAAGGGTTATATCATCTACATATCTAAGGTTATTGATATTTCTCCCATAAATCTTGATTCCAGCTTGTGCTTTATCCAGCCCAGCGTTTCTCATGATATACTCTGCATATAAGTTAAATAAGCAGGGTGACAATATGCAGACTTGACGTACTCCTTTCCCAGTTTAGAACCAGTTGGTTGTTCCGTATTCAGTTATAGCTATTGCTTCTTGACCTGCATACAGGTTTCACAGGAGATAGGTAAGGTAGTCTGGTATTTCCATCTCTTTAAGGTTTTCCAGTTTGTTGTGATCCACACAGTCAAAGGCTTTAACATAGTCAGTGAAGGAAAAGTAGATGCTTTCTAGAACTCTCTTGCTTTTTCTATGACCCAACATATGTTGGCAATTTGATCTCTGGTTCCTCTGCCTTTTCTAAATCCACCTTGAACATCTGGAAGTTCTCAGTTCATATACTGTTGAAGCCTACCTTGGAGGATTTTGAGCATGACCTTGGTAGCATGTGAGATGAATGCAATTGTGTGGTAGTTTGAACATTCTTTGCCTTGCCTTTCTTTGGTATTGGAATGTAAACTGACCTTTTCCAGTCCTGTGGCCACTGCTGAGTTTTCCAAATTTGCTGGCATTTTGAGTGTAGTACCTTAACAGCATCATCTTTTAGGATTTGAAATAGCACGGCTGGAAATCCATCACCTCCACTAGCTTTGTTCATAGTGATGCTTCCAAGGCCCACTTGACCTTGCCCTACAGGATGTCTGACTCTAGGTGAGTAATCACACCATTGTGGTTATCTGGGTCATTAAGTTCTTTTTTGTATAGTTCTGTGTATTCTTGCCACCTCTTCTTAATATCATCTGCTTCTGTTAGGTCCATACTGTTCCTGTCCTTTATTGTGCCCATCTTTGCATGAAATATTCCCTTGCTATTTCTAATTTTCTTGAAGAAATCTCTAGTCTTTCCCATTCAATTGTTTTCCTCTATTTCTTTGCATTGTTAATTGAAGAAGGCCTTCTTATCTCTCCTTGCCTTTCTCTGGAACTCTGCATTTGTTGTGTATATCTTTCACTTTCTCCCTTGCTTTTTGCTTCTCTTCTTTTCTCAGCTATTTGTAAGGCCTCCTCAGACAGCCATTTTGCCTTTTTGCATTTCTTTTTCTTGGGGATGGTTTTTATCACTGCATCCTGTACAGTGTTATGAACCTCTGTCCATAGTTCTTGAGGCACTCTATCATATCTAATCCCTTGAATCTATGCATGTACTAGTCCACCACTAAGTCTTGCTGATTCTGTTGGTTAAATACTTTTTAAATCACATGTTTCTCTCCTTTTCTACCATAGTCTCAGTTACCACGAGCTCTTGCTTGGTCTGTCTTCTCCTCTGGCTCCTCTCCAATACTCTTTTTTCCAGAAATATGAGTCAGATCAGGTCACGCCCATTACTTCAGACCATTTAACAAATCCCATTGCTCCTAGACAAAAATTCAGAATCCTCAATGTGGCATCCAAGACCAGCATGGCTCTCTGTATGTATTCCTGTCAGAGAGCCTGAAATAATCTTTACCTGACTTCTTTATACGGTTAACTTTCTGGCTGCTCTCTAGACCTTACCTGAAAAGAAACTTCCACAGGAAAGCTTCTCATAGGCCCTCCCGCTGCCATAGTACAGAGTACCCATCCTTAGCTACATTGCATGGCTATGCATTTAGTTGTATGATTGTAAGTCAGTGTCTACTCCCCCTGTGCTGTGTGCAACCAAAGTAAGGACTATTCTGCTTTACTCACCGAATGTATTCCCAGCTGGAGGACTGGGGGCGGGGCGGGGGCGGGGGTGGCGTGGTCATGAAGGACCTCCTGAGCCAGGTGAAGCTATTTGGGATTTATCCAAAGAGCAGTGGGAAGCCTTTGAAAGTTTGGAAGCAGGGAACAATGTGATGGGATGTATACTCTAGAAGAATCACCGTGGACAAGACATAGAGAAATCCAAAGAGGTACGCTTGAAACACGGAAATAAGCAGAGACACAGTAACTGCAGGTCCACTCTTTCTCTATTCCACCTTTCCTCCTCTCCTTTCTAAATCCAGTGAGGTTACTCAGAAACCCTCTCAAACAAATGCTTGATCCACATCTAGTTGCCTGAACATTGATTGAATTCCTAACAACTTTGTTGATGCAAGGAATAATAAAGTGAGAACTGGTCCAGACCCAAATGTACATCTTCAGCCCACATCTCCCACTTTAGTAGAAAGTCTAGAGACTATCTAATAAACAGAGTATAATAAATGTATATCTTCAGCCCACAGCTCCCACTTTAGTAGAAAGTCTAGAGACTATCTAATAAACAGAGTATAATACAATGTAGAAAGTGCTCTGATAAGAGTTAGAATGGAGGTCTGGAAATCAGAGGAGGTTATAACTAATACACTTTCAGGTGGAGCAGAAAATGCCTCACAGGGACCATGGCATTTGATCCAGCAGGAAGGATAGGATTTTTTCAGAGACAGCTGAGGGTGGCCTTCAGTGGCTAGAACAGCATGTGAAGGGCCTGGCTGTTGGGGAATGGCTTTGGCCCTGGATGTGTAGGGATGGGGGTGGGGAAAGTGGTGATGTGTTGGGGCCTTATTGTAAAAGGTCTGGTATTCTTAGTTCAGGAGTGTGAATATCATATTGTGGGCTGCCAGAAGTCATTGGACCACTGCAAATATCTCTAAATTAAGAAACAATACATGAGGGAATACTTTATATTAAAGGTTTATTGAGAAAGCAGTGACTGGGCCAGTGAGAGCAATGATCTTCTGAACCTAAGAAACACAAGAATGATTCTGGTCCTGAAGCATGTACAGTGGGGTCTGGGCCCCCAGTTGCAATGAGCTGACCCAGGCCTGCCCCCGGGAGACCGAGTGGGGACCTGGCCACACATGATTGTGAGCACGCTCTGCCCTGATAGCCGTCCTGATTGATATTTTATTTTGCAGTTCCATGGAGAACGGGAGGCCACCTGATCCTGCAGACTGGGCCGTGATGGATGTCGTCAATTACTTCCGAATGGCAGGATTTGAGGAGCAAGCTAGTGCATTTCAGGAACAGGTAACTCAGTCTAGAGAAATACACAATGAACATGATTGCCTCCCTTCCCCACAACGAGCAGCAGGGACTGAGAAAGAAAGGCATAGAGAGCGGTGAGGGATCAGTGAGGCTCCAGGTCACCCCAGCCCCTGGGAAAGTAAGAGGGTGGGGAAGGGGAGTACGGAAGTGACAAGCTAATGATTCCCTCCTGCAAGAGGAAAACCCAAGCGCTAAGACAGAAACATGGGCGCAGCTGCAGAGAGGAGGGCCAAGTCTCATCTACATCTGCATCTTCTGAAAGACGGCCCAGCCCTGCCTTCAACACAAGCACACGAGGAAGCAGAACACAGAAAAAGAGGAAAAGCAGGGGCGAATCTGGCAGAGAGACACGCTCCTGTCTGCTGCTGGCCTCTGCGCCACCTGAGCTGTTAATTAAGCCTCCTCCAATGTGCTTGCTGGGTGCTGAGCAAAGTCGAATGGAAAGAGCACAGTGTTTGGACTTCAATCCTGGTTCTTGTAATTCTGTGTGATCCCAGGCAAATGCTATGACTCTCTGAGTCACTTTTTCTCATCTGTAATACCAGGCTCTCAGTGCCTAACTTTGTAGGGTGGTATGAGAATTAAAGGGCAATGATGAAGGCACGTTGCCTCGGGTAGGTGCTGGCCCAACCTTGATGCCCCCCAAATGCGAATTCCCTCACTCAGGTCCAGTGGTGGTACTGGAGAGATGGAGGGAAGAGCAGGGGATCCCTCCCAATTGTCTGGGCGATTCCTGATTCCATTTTCCAGGCTGGGCCAGCACTGTAGGGATGGTTTTCAAAGGGTTTTGACCATGAGGAAGCAAATCAGGATACATGAGATCCACACTAGACCAGTTCTGTAGGGAAGCACAGAGTTCCCATTTCCCTACCAATGAAGTCTGCAGTATTCTAAGCATTAAGTTCACTTTTCTAATTTTATAATGTAATTGAGAGAATTATAAACTGAGCAATGCATTTCGCTGCTTCTTGCACATCCCCTTAGCCATTTCTTACTCTCTCAAGCTGGGTTTGGATAAGTGCAATTTTCTAATATCATGTTTTCTGATGAAATATATATCTTGTATTCTAATAAATATCTAATACCGTATATAGAAAAGTGCACTTCTCTAATATCATAAATAAATCTAATCTCTAGATTTCCTTCAGCCAGTATTTTCTTCAACTTTATCCCTGCATATATGTTTTTTGTTAACTTGGGAAATTTGCCAGAATAACAGCTTAAATCACTTCACACCCACCAGGACAGCTAAAATTAGAAAGACTGATAGCAAATGTTTGTGAGGATATAGAGCAACCACACTCGTCTACATTGTTAGTGGGAGTGTAAAAAAAAAAAACACTCATGTATCTACCCCATGATCTAGCAGCTTCATTCCAGAGTGTTTACCCAAGGGAAATGAAAGCATATGTCCACCAAAGATTTGCTCAACACTGTTCAAGTAGCTTTATTCCTAATAGTCCAAAACTGGGAGCTCAAGTGTCCATCAATAGGAGAGTGAATAGACAAACTGTGGTCTAGTCTTACAGTGGAATAAAGAAAAATGAACTAATACACACAACAGTTTGGATGAGTCTTAAAATATTATGCTGAATGAGAGAAGCTTTACATAAAAGAGCTTGTTCTGAATGGTTTTTGTCTTATTCCATGTGGGTTGCTATAACAAAAATACCATGAACTGTGTGACTTATAAGCAACACTTATTTCTCATATTTTGCAGGTAGGAAGTCTAAGATGAAGGCATTAGTAGACTGGGTGTCTGGTGAGGGCCCACTTCCTAGGCAGCCATCATTTTGCTGTGTCCTCACAGAGGAAGGGATGAGCGAGCTCTCTGGGCCCACTTTTATAAAGGCACAGATACACATGGGGGCTCTGTTCTCATCATCTATTAATAATTGCCTCCCAAAGGGCCCAGCTCTTAATATCATTACTAATACTCTCAAGGTCCATTGGGGGGTTGGTTTCAACATACAAATCTGGGGGAGAACACATTCAGACCATAGCAGTTCTGTTTAGATAAAGGATGAAAACAGGAAAATACACTGATGATAGAAAAAAAAATCAGACAGTGCTTGCCTCTGGGTAGGTAGGAGAGGGGGATGACTGGGAAGGAGCATGAGGGAACTTTCTGAGGGATGGTAGAATTTTGCATCTTGATAAAGCTTTGGGTTATGGATATATGCGTTGGTACTGCTTATGCACAAAATATGCAAATGATCCAGAATTGTGTATTACACAGCCAGTAAATTTTTTCCTCAGAAGTAAAAGACCTATGAAAGTGATGTTGCTCAGTTGTGTCCAACTCTTTGGGACCCCATGGACTCTAGCCTACTAGGCTCCTCCGTCCATGGGATTTTCCAGGCAAGAGTACTGGAGTGAGCTGCTATTGCCTTCTCCAGGGAATCTGCCCAACCCAAGAATCGAACCCGGGTCTCCTGCATTGCAGACAGACGCTTTACCGTCTGAGTCACTAGGGAATCCCACCAGGGAATAGGAAAAGACGTGTAAAAAATAATTAATGGTGTACAAACTGAAGTATTTAGGGGAGAAGTATGCTGATTATGCAACTTATTTTGAAATGCATCAGAATACAGATTCACAGTTGCATAGAAGGATGAGTAGATGGAGAGACATATGATACAGTAAGCATGAAATATATTCATTGTAGAATCTAGGTGGTGGGAATACAGGTACTCCCTAAAATATTCTTACAACTTTATGTTTGAAATTTTTTATAATAAAATTGTGGGGGGAAATAACTGCGGTTGGAGAGTGGAAGGCTGATCAGCTGAAACATATTTTATTTTGGTCTAATGTTATAATATCCGTTTGTGTCATTGCAGTTGAGTAACTCACTTCTAAAATTAAATTTAAATAATATTATAAAAGGTTAACAAAAAAAAAGAACTTAGCTAAAAGGTCTCTTGGCCAGATTCCCGGCTGCCCAAAAGCAATTTTCAGAAGGAGCTTTTGCTCAGACTCCTCTGATGCAGATGGCCCAGACTAGGGGTGGAGGGTATTCTTTGGGCCTTTCAGACTCTGAAATGGAACTGGCCAGCTCTGAGCTCGGCCCAGGAGCAGGCCCTTTCTCCCAGGGATGACATCAGTCTAGCACCAGTGACGTGGGAGTCAAAAGGGGACAGAGTTCCCCAAAGCATCTCATTCAGAAGTCCTTCAAGGGAGGAAAGGAACACCATCTTGTTTATTCAGCTCTGGAGCCTGAGAAATGAATTCCTGAGGGAGTGAAATTTTGCAAGCATGGTCTAGATGCTCAAGTTACTTCATTCTTATGGAAAGATAATTGGAAAGGGAAATAATCTGCCTTGAATTATTCTCTGGAAGTGATTTGAATCTTCCTCCTACTTTGAATCTCATGTCTTTCCTCTTCTCATTAAAGGAGGTAAACTTTGCAAGGAAGCAACCACTGGCCAGACTCAGGCTGACAAGACAAGCAGCTGCTGTGCTTTTCAGGAGGACTGAGGATCAGGATCCTCTGCTATGTTAACCTGCCTCTTCCATCATCATGCTTCAGAGGCCTTCAGTGTTTCACCTCCCGTGATCTTCCTGGAAATGAACCCCAAGCAGTCAGCAGTCACTCACCACATTCATCCCCAATGGCAAGACTACAGGCTACCCCCAGCCCAAACACAGGACCCTTTTAGGCACTTCTAGGTCACAGCAGCTGAGAGAGAAGAAGAATGGCCACATCCCTAAATCTCCATAGGGTAGGCTCTGCCCTTCCTTGTGATAGAAGCAGGCCAGAAAAGTGAGCATCCCCTAAACCACCTTAGAAAATGGCAGGTTCAGAAAGGGTAGTACAGTTGCCAAATGCAGCACGTCTTACTTGATGTGAGAGCTTAGTTTCTTGGCTGTTATGGATGGAATGTTTGTCCCCCTCAAATTCATTTTAAAACCCTAACTCCCAGGGTGATGGTGTTTGGAAGTAGGGCCTTCAGGAGATAGATTTAGATGAGGTTTTGAGGCTGGAGCCCTTGTGATGGGGTAAAGACCCTGGAAAGGGAGCTTGCTCTTTCTCCCTGTGTTATATGTGAGGATGTAGCACGAGGGCAGCCATCTGCAAGTGGGGAAGAGGGCCCTCACCAAGAGCCACATGTTGGCACTGTGATCTTGGACTTCCCGCCTCCAGACTGAGTAATAAAGCTCTGTTGTTTAGGCCACCTGATCCTTGGTGTCTTGTTACAGCAGCCTAAGCTGACTAAGACACGGACACTGATGCCAGACATGTCCACCATGACATGTGCTGACTTTCAGGGGAATGTCCATCTTCTTGGTATGGTCTCACAATACATTACTGGATATCCTGTTGTTGTAACAACTAGACTCAGAGGTCGATTTCTAGCAGCGTGTTCCTTTGGAAGAGGTCAGGCCATTGATTTGTCCAAAGTGCAGAAATGTCCCATGTTCCTGTGGTATGGAGGGGCAGCTGGATTAGCCGAGGGATCTTTGTGTAACCTTTTCTCTATGCAAGCACACTGACACCTAATAATTATCTCCCTTGAATAAAAAAAAATAAAAATAATAAGAATTATCTCCCTTAAGTTTCCCACTGGTGCAGTTATCACCATCAGGTTTTCCTCTGACCAACTTCTTTCGAGCTTCTGTGTGAGCCACAGTACAGACCAAAAGAATTATCAAGAGGGAAGGCCTAGGCACCTCCCAGCCCCCTCCACACCCCTGCACCAAGGATCCACTGTCAACAGTGTGTGTGTTTGGGGTCGTTTCCTGCTCTGGCCATCCTGTCATGACCAGTGACATGGCTCTCTGTTGGCCCACTGGCCTCATTGACATTGCCCCCCAGAGGACTCACTGGCCCATAGGAGGAGGAGACACTGGGATCCCTTCCTAGAAGAGGCAGTGATTACAGCTATTGCAACACTGTCTCTCATTCCCACCAAAATGGTGGTATGGTCGCTCTTTTCCTAAGTGTCTTCCAGCATTCAAACCTTTTTGGCTGTGATGTG